AGAAAAAAAAAAAAAAAAAAAAACAGTAGGCATGTATTATCTCACAGTCTCTGAGGCTCAGGGGTTCAAGAGCAGCTGTGTGGTTCTGCCTCGGGATCTCTCATAAGGTTTCAGTCAAGATGTTGCCCAGGGCTGCAGGCATCAGAAAGCTGCGCTGGGGCTAGAGGATCTCCTCCATGATGGCGCACTCCCATGGCTGTTGGCAGGAGGCCTCAGTTCCTTGCCATGTGAGCCTCTCCCAAGAGCTGATTGAGTATCCTCACAACATGGCATAGGCCAAAATGGAAGCCACAAAGCCTTGTATGATCTAGCCTCACAAATCACAAACTATGATCTCTACTATATTTATCACATGGACCAGCTTTGAGTCAGAGTGGGAGGAAACCACACGAGGACATAAATACCAACAGGTAGGGATCATTTGGAGGCCATCTTGAAGGCTGCCTACCACAGTCATATACACAGAACTTGCAAAGGAGTGTTTTTCATCCTGAACTTGACATCGACTGGAGGGTATTTACAAAGTGAAAGTTAAAGACAGAGAGAGAGAGGTCTGTCTACCCTTTGGGGAAACCAAGGGATGAGGTTTTGATTCACACGCAAAACAGCATGAAGTGAAATGATGGACATAGGGGAAAGGGCTGCAGTAGGAGTGGCTGTGTCTTTTGGTACATCAAGGATGTGGGAGTTTCCTGTGAGCCTCGTGAAAGCAGTGGAATAACCAGACTGAGGCCCAAGAAAGCAGCCTGTCTGTGTTCCTCAAAACGACCAACATCAGCCTTTGGGGCAAACAGCCCTAGAATCATCCATGACTCCTCCCTTCTCTCTCATTCCATGGCTATGGCACATTAAGTTTTCAAAAGATGGCTGCAACAATATCTCATGTCCTACCTGTTCTTATGCAATGTGACCATGCCACTCCATCAAGAAGTAGAGTCTAATTATCCTCCCTTTAAATCTGGGCTTGCCTTAGTGACTCTCTTATAACCAACAAAATGTGGCACAAGGGACAAGCACAAGCGACAAGCACAAGCTGCCATGCAGCTTCCACCTGGCTCTGTCAGAACATGTGCTCCCAACTGACATTTTGTGAGGAAACCCAAGCCACATGGAGGTGCTTGGCTCAACAATCCCAGTTGAGGCCAGATTTCAAGTCATCCCAGCCCAGGTGCCAGATATATAAGTGAAGACACCTCCCAATGATTCCAGCCCCCAGGAGAGTTAGAGTCACCTCCAGCCCTTTGGGTCTTCCCATCCAAGGCCCCAGACATCATAGAGCAGAAACAAGCTGTCCCTACCATGCCCTGTCCCATAGAATCCATGAGCATATGAAGTGATTATTTTATGCCACTACGTTTGGGGTGGTTTCTTAGACACCCTAGATAACTGGAAATATGACCAATCTGTTAGTAATTCTGGTTGGCTCTACCTTCACAGCATATTCAGCATCTGAGTCCTTTTCACCTCCTGGTCTTAGCCATCATCCTCTTTCACCTGGATTACAGTAATAGCCTCCACCTAGGTCTACCCACTTCTGCCCTTGCCCCCTTTATGGTCAAACTCATAGAAGCAGGGAGATGGTTGTCCATGGCTGGAGGGAGGGAAAAAATGGGTAGATGTTGGTCAATGGGTACAAAGTTTCAGTTGTGCAAGATGAATATGTTCCAGAAAACTACAATGTGACTATAGTTGACAACATTGTACTGTGTACTTGAAACTTGCTAAGAGGGTAGATCTTGGGTGTTCTTAACACAAAAAAAAGAATAAATAAAAGGAAAATGTTAACTCTGAAGAGATGGATACGTTGACTGGCTTGGTTGTGGTGAATATTTCACAATATACCTGTATATTGGGTTATCAGGTTGTACACCGTAAATACATACAATTTTGACTGTCAAGAATACCTCAGAAGGACTTCCCTGGTGGTGCAGTGGTTAAGAATCCTCCTGCCAATGCAGGGGACACAGGTTCGAGCCCTGGTCTTGGAAGATCCCACATGCCGCGGAGCAAATAAGCCCGTGAGCCACAACTACTGAGCCTGCGCTCTAGAGCCCACAAGCCACAAATACCGAGCCCGCGTGCCACAACTACTGAAGCCCACGCACCTAGAGCCCGTGATCCGCCACAAGAGAAGCCACTGCAATGAGAAGCCCACGCACCGCAATGAAGAGTAGCCCCCCACTCGCCGCAACTAGAGAGAAAAGCCCACGCGCAGCAACAAAGACCCAACACGGCCAAATTAATTAATTAATTTAATTTGAAAAAAAGAATACCTCAGTAAAGCTGGAAGAAAAACAACCATAACTGTTTTTATTTAAACTTTTGATAATTTCTTTACCACAATTTTCTTTCACTTCTTTTTTTAACATTGCATTAATATATAATTTTCCTTGGGGAAAAAATAGAGTCTGAAATCAAGGTGTGGGCAGGGCCATGCTCCCTCCAAAGGCACTAGGGGAGGATCCTTTTTGCCTCTCTAGCTTCTAGGGTTTCCTGGCACTCTTTGGCTTGTGGCCACATCACTCCAATCTCCGCCTCAGTCTTCACATGCCTTTTTCTCTGTGCATCTCTGTGTCTCGACTCTAGATGCTAGGCTAGTGGTTTTGAAGACGCAGGAAGGGGCCACGAGCCAAGGAAGGCAGCTCTAGAAGCTGGAAAAGGCTAGAAAACAGATTCTCCCATTCTCGAAGCCTCTGAGGGACAACTTGGTTGTCCCTGTGGACAATTTGGTTTCAGCCACATGAAAACAACTTTGAACTTCTGACGTCCAGAACTATAAAAGAATTAATTTCCGTTGCTATAAACCACTAAATTTGTGGTAATTTGTTACAGCAAGCATAGCATATTACATACCCCAAAGGGCAAGACCCCAATTCCTCTTTTGAGGGGTTTTCCATTAAAGTAAAAGGAAATGCAACTGAGACTGGCTTAAACATCAAGGAAATCCCGTCAGGCCCGTCCATGTACAAGTTAGAATATTGGGCGGGGTTGCTGTAACGGAGATTCAGAACAAGAGTGGCTTAAATGAGATGGAATTTATTTCTCACCTCACAGTCTCAATATAAGCAATCCACAGTCTCTGCCAGTGGAAACTCTTCCCTAGCACATGCGGAGGGGGGGTGGACCCAGCCCTACTTGAGGTGGGAGGGCAGCAGCAGACCAGCCTCCCTCTCCAGGAAAAGCTCACCCCAGGGGCTGGGCTTCCCCCCGCCCCGTTCCCATGATGTAACATCCTGAACCTCTCCCACCTGCATGAGGTGTGAGTGTGCTGTTCCCGTTCTACAGATGGGGAAATGGAGACTTGTCTGAGAAGGAAGAGTCTGCCTGCCCAGCAAATACCCACTGAGCATACACAACAAGTATCAGATTCCAGATGGATATGGGGGGGTCAGGGTGGAGCGATAGGGAAGGCATGGGGGGGATACACCAACCAAGAGGACTTGATAGCATCTCTGGCCATCAAGGGCATCCTTTAAGGTGGGTGGGCCTGGGCAAGGTAAGTGTGGTGAAGGTTGGATGGTCTCACTATGTGAGGGTGATGGCCACATGGCCAAGGCCATGCCTCGAGACTTGGCACACAGTAGGTGTGCAGGAACTGGTAGTGAAATCCAGTCCTGTCAACTGGGTATAATAACATAAAGCCATGGGCCCAGGCTGACCCGGCTCTAGAACAACATCTCTGAGCAGAGGTCTCCTGATATGTACAATGGAGATTGGGGATTCAGTTGTTCATTCATCTATTCAACAGATATGTACTGACCACCTACTATGTGTTAGGCTCTGTTCTAG